CTTTTGACAACAGCTCATCCACACTGGAATCAGTACTCATACAAAGCATGATGTTACTCGCTTTCCTTTTAGCGACCGAATGATAGCATTCTCTTAGAAGTACAGAAGGAGAATACTCCTTGTCATGTAATAACCGGACAACTTCATACCGTAAACAGCATATGACACCTCACCCTTTGCATGTCTCACCCATAAATGTCGAGATCTTAGGCGGCTGGTTAACAGTGATAGAAGGGGCTACTGATGATGATGGAGCATAAAACTCTCCCTGAGCTGCCAGATAATCTGTCATCCAACGTTTAAAAACATCAGGATTATCAGCCTTAGGCTTAACACCCATCTCCTCTATGGTTTTTACTAGAATTTTAACATCTTCCTCTTCCATTGATGCCATATTTCTAGACCACACACCAGACCCTAGCCAAAATATTGCAGCAAGGAAGACCAGAATAATACTAAACCCCATGAAGTTACCCAAAAACTTAAGCAATACCTAAGTCTAATTGTTACTTTAAGTGATAACCTACATCTTGACAGTCAACCTTGTCTACATGCTAGAAGTACTAGCAAGTGGCAGTGTCTAGAAAACTGTATGGTGCAAATCAGTTAAGCATGTCAAAGTAGTCTTTAAGTCTGGATTTTTTTTCTAAAATGAATGACACAGATTTCACATGACAACAACTAAAATATAACAAAATCAAGGCAAAAACACATCAATACATACAGCCTCAAAATGCAATCACAATTTCAAGAAATCACATACAGCATATCACTAATACATGAATAAAATTCGGTACCAGTACACATGCCTGGAAACAGTCAGGAGCAATAAATAGCTCACATGCATAACATGTCGGTAGCCTGGAAACTTACTGTCTCTCTCAACCAATGTACTCAGAATACAACTGAATTAAAGGCAGTACGGGTGGCAATCACATTATATCAAGTTCATGGTTATGTCATGGTCTCACAGTCTCTGGTGGTAGTTCACATGGTGACTCTGCAGCGGTGGTCCAAGGTGGTTGACAAGGTGCTCACAGCATTCTCTCACTGGGGCTCCAAATTTGTAACGGGGATGGCTCTTTTACAACGACACAACTCCGTTGAGGCTGCAAGTTCCTTTTTATTACTGTAGTTTGTATATAATAATACAAGTCTGAAACAATGTATATGAATATATAACATTCCATCACAATACCTATTTTATCACATTCATTCATTTCATTGCACATTGTTCAGATAATTAACAATCACAGCTCTACCACTGAACATATAAAATAACTCAAAAACAAATTGACATCCACAAAATTAATGGTTCAGTTTCATATTAAGATCCTTATGATTTATGGAACACATTGGGCATCTTCAAAACAGTGAAACTTCAACGTGTCTTACCATCTATGGGACAACTTGCTTCAAACTGGCCACATGTTGTGAGGCACCAACAAAACACCAAGAACCTAAAATATGTATGTTTTAATTAGCATGGAAATGCTAATTCTCACCAGCTAGAAAAGTAACATTACAAACTGTTTGGACTCAAACATTAATCTGAATCAATTGTAGGTGAAATTATTGACACCAACAATTTCTAACCATGGGTCAAAATATACCTCCACCCAAATGCATAAATTCCAGTTACAATAAATGCTGAGTTAACCTTTCAACAATTAAACATATTTTTATAGTTTATTCCTTTTATATAAAACCAAATGTAACTAACCTTGTAATTCACCCAAGTCACAGTCCACCACCCATGATTACTCAAACCAGGCTTGCCAGGTTGGGAGAAAGACAGCAAGTGAACAAACTTCACACTTTCCAAATGCAACTAAATTCAACATCCAATCAAGATGCTGCACACATCTTCAGCCAATAAAACCAAGGACAAGACAGCAGACCTGACCTCATTAAGACTTGGCTAATTTGCATAGGAACTACTTTTGACCCATGACCCAGTGGTGACTATAAATAAATCATGGACTTGTGAAAATGTAAACCTTTTCACTGACAATTGTATTATTGTTTAAGGTGTTATTAATTGATTCCAAACAGGAACATAAGACAAGACATATTAAAATAGATTGCTTTTCCAGAACATTTTAATATTTGTATATTTTGTACTTGTTAGATACTTGTATTTGTTACACACTTGTTTTGTACTTGTTACATGTAGGTCCAGGTATTCAGATCTTGCAGTTTGTGTAGGTCCAGGTGTTCAGATCTTGAAATTTGTGTAGGTCCAGGTGTCCAGATCTAACAGTTTATGTTGGTCCAGGTATTCAGATCTTGCAGTTTGTGTAGGTCCAGGTATTCAGATCTTGCAGTTTGTGTAGGTCCAGGTATTCAGATCTTACAGTTTGTGTAGGTCCAGGTGTCCAGATCTTATATTTGTGTAGGTCCAGGTGTCCAGATCTTACAGTTTATGTTGGTCCAGGTATTCAGATCTTACAGTTTGTGTGGGTCCAGGTGTCCAGATCTAACAGTTTATGTTGGTCCTGGTGTCCAGATCTTACAGTTTATGTAGGTCCAGGTGTCCAGATGGTCACAGTTTATGTAGGTCCAGGTGGTCAGATCTTCACAGTTTATGTAGGTTCAGATGTCCAGATCTAGTTTATGTAGGTCCAGATGTCCAGATGTCACAGTTTATGTTGGTACAGGTATGATCTTGCAGCTTATGTAGGTCCAGATGTCCACATGTCACAGTTTATGTAGGTCCAGATGTCCAGATCTATGCAGTTTATGTAGGTCCAGGTGTCCAGTTCAGATGGTCACAGTTAATGTAGGTCCAGATGGCAGATATGTACAGTTTGTGTTGGTCAATGTGTCAAGATCATTCACAGTTTATGTAGGGTCGAGATGTCACAGTTTATGTAGGTCCAGATGGTCAGATGTCACAGTTTATGTAGGTCCATGATGGTCCAGATGTCACAGTTTATGTAGGTCCAGATGTCACAGTTTGTGTAGGTTCAGTATGGTCAGATGTCACAGTTTATGTAGGTCCAGATGGTCACAGTTTATGTAGGTCCAGATGTCACAGTTTATGTAGGTCCAGATGTCACAGTCACAGTGTAGGTCCAGATGTCACAGTTTATGTAGGTCAGATGTCACAGTTTATGTAGGTCCAGATGTCACAGTTTATGTAGGTCAGATGGTCAGATGTCACAGTTTATGTAGGTCCAGATGTCACAGTTTGGCAGGAACCAGACTATATATATTTACATTAAACCGAGTAGGAAGCGTAAATGCCCCATTTGTAACTTATGTGTATGTGCAAATGTAGGCAGGAAAAATTTGATACTTCTATGGTGTTGACAGTTCATAACATTATAGGGGAAAAGGCTGTGTGAGTAATTCCGAGTGTGCACCAAGTTTGCTATTGCCTCGTTCATGCATAAATTATGTGTTTTCAGTTTAAAAGCTACTTTAGTCCATATAACGTTTATTTCCATTGTGTGCCATACCGTTACATTCACTCTGCAACATTTAGATTGCCAAACAGTTGAAAATACTATCAATTTATACCTGTTGAGTTAGTAAGTGTAGTATTTTTCGGAATGCCATTGTATTCAATAGTCGGTACTTGTCATTGCATTACAATTGTTTACCATCATACAAACTGCAGTAAACGGTCATATACTTGCTGGTGGCTGTTAAGATGACGATTGAAACGTGACTTCCAGAACAATATCGCTATAAACCATTTATGTTCTGCAAATGAAACACGATTGCTCGTCCTGAATGGCCCTCCAATATGCAGACTTGTCCGTTGTATAAATCGCGCAACTGGCCAAGGACTTGGCTTAAGTGTGTTTATACGTATGCGTAGAATACACATTGGGCGGTAGCCCAGTGGTAAAAGCACGTTCGCACTTCAGCAGAATTCGCAGAATTCGATTCCCACCTGCGTATCTAATATGTGAAACCCATTTCTGCTGTCTTCCTCCGTGTAATTGCTGCTAAAAACGGCTTAAATATCGCTCACCCACTAGAAGACACTTTTTGTCTGATCCTGCATTTCAGTACAAGATTATGCCATCGAATGCGAGTTAATCTGCTTTTGAATGATTTAGTCATCAGTATGTTGCCTTTACTGTCTGACCTGAGATGTATGTAATGTGGCCTGGTCGTAATGTGATGAGAAACTCTAAGTTATGTTTGACTTTGGTTATAAAGTTTGTCATACAAAACGCCACACTGTCGTGTCAAGTATCATATTTACATTCTACAACGAACTTGATTCCAACATCAATGTTGTCAGGCCAGGCCTTTCGTATATGCCCTTTCTACCATGACTAGATACAATGCCAATATATTGAGAGTAGCCGGATGGGTCAACGATTTAGATATCTCCACGGTGGATATTACATCGTCACATATGACGGGCATTTAAATCATGACGCACAGCAACTATTATGACGTCACACAGTCGAATTTCAAGCCAACTCTTGTCCCTTAAACTTAAAATACATTGCCTTTACTTCTTTCTATCTTCTTTTCCACACTAACTAAATTGCCACACATTCTTTGAATATTGTACCAACCGCATCTTTGCATTTTGTAATCATTATTTCTACAAATAATATCCTGAGTTATATTAATGTTATTGCCTAGATAAGCCCTACGCTGTCAATCCTTGTTAATCGTATCAGTCTACTTTTCAACGAGATGGCGGTTTAATGTAGCTTTTATTGTAGTATGATTTTATTGTAGACACCTACAGGTCATTTCCAAATTTGGCACATCGGTGACAAAAGTTCCCTCTGTAACACATATTCAAGCGAACAAGTGGCCTGCATTTGTTAAATATTATCAAATCTATCCGTATTTGAACCCCAGTGGACACCGTACCAGCGATATGACGTTGTCGCATTACGTCAGTTAATTTTCGAGCTATGACCAGACAATCCAGTGATTGACATCATGACGATCCTTCTGTGCAAATGTTGGTTATGAACTAAGTCAACGTCCCTGACCATCAGATCCAGGTAGTTACTTCTTTACGACAAGCATGGGTTGATGAGGAATTGTAAACAAATATATCTTCGTTACAGTTCTCTAATGATAATTAACAGTTTTCTAAAGCTGTGCCTGTTTTAGTTACATGAAGTGATATTGGTACACGTGCTGTATTAATCGAATATGTATTTGGAACGCAATGCTTACGTTATGTCTTCACGAAACCAACATGTTTAGCACATTCAAAGCTCTGTCAAACTTGTTCTTCAAAATGCTCAGTAAATTGTACGTGAAGAAGCGTCTGTCAATTGTAACCAGAATGCGTGTTTAATAGTCTGACATATATAATATAATCGATACACCGTAAGCGTTATCGATTTGAAGGAGCTGGTTACGTGATAAAACGCAAGTCTTCTGCATATCTTGCTTACAAAGTTAAACCTCCAGGTGACACACCATAGTGCGTTGCCATAACATATACCCCTCCATGTAACAACGATACACGCCTATCATCGGACATCCTGTAGTAACACCACTGTCACCACTGTAGGCAACCAGACTCACCACAATAGACAGAGAGTCACCCCGCGGGACAAGACATTGCGTAAGTATTGATAATGTTTCATTACTATTACATGATTCAGTATAAATATTTCTTGCATTTTGTGACATTAAATCTCCTTTAATGTTATATACTTATCAAATTGTTTCATAGTTCTTTTGGTCCCAGTGTCTGGTCCTTGTTATCCTACACTATATCCATGTGTAGCCCCACTGTCTGGTCCCTGTTATCCTACACTATATCCATGTGTAGCCCCACTGTCTGGTCCCTGCTATCCTACACTATATCCATGTGTAGCACCACTGTCTGGTCCCTGTTATCCCACACTATATCCATGTGTAGCACCACTGTCTGGTCCCTGTTATCCCACACTATATCCATGTGTAGCACCACTGTCTGGTCCCTGTTATCCCACACTATATCCATGTGTAGCACTCACTGTCTGGTCCCTGTTATCTACACACTATATCCATGTGTAGCACCACTGTCTGGTCCCTGTTATCCTACACTATATCCATGTGTAGCACCACTGTCTGGTCCCTGTTATCCTACACTATATCCATGTGTAGCACCACTGTCTGGTCCCCTGTTATCCTACACTATATCCATGTGTAGCACCACTGTCTGGTCCCTGTTATCCTACACTATACATCCATGTGTGTAGTACCCACTGTCTGGTCCCTGTTATCCTACACTATATCCATGTGTAGCACCACTGTCTGGTCCCCGTTATCCTACACTATATCCATGTGTAGCACCCACTGTCTGGTCCCTGTTATCCTACACTATATCCATGTGTAGCACCACTGTCTGGTCCCTGTTATCCTACACTATATCCATGTGTAGCACCACTGTCTGGTCCCTGTTATCCTACACTACATCCATGTGTAGCACCACTGTCTGGTCCCTGTTATCCTACACTATATCCATGTGTAGCACCACTGTCTGGTCCCTGTTATCCTACACTATATCCATGTGTAGCACCACTGTCTGGTCCCTGTTATCCTACACTATATCCATGTGTAGCACCCACTGTCTGGTCCCTGTTATCCTACACTATATCCATGTGTAGCACCACTGTCTGGTCCCTGTTATCCTACACTATATCCATGTGTAGCACCACTGTCTGGTCCCTGTTATCCTACACTATATCCATGTGTAGCACCACTGTCTGGTCCCTGTTATCCTACACTATATCCATGTCTTGGTAGCACCACTGTCTGGTCCCTGTTATCCCTACACTATATCCATGTGTAGCACCACTGTCTGGTCCCTGTTATCCTACACTATATCCATGTGTAGCACCACTGTCTGGTCCCTGTTATCCTACACTATATCCATGTGTAGCACCACTGTCTGGTCCCTGTTATCCCACACTATATCCATGTGTAGCACCACTGTCTGGTCCCTGTTATCCTACACTATATCCATGTGTAGCACCACTGTCTGGTCCCTGTTATCCTACACTATATCCATGTGTAGCACCACTGTCTGGTCCCTGTTATCCTACACTATATCCATGTGTAGCACCACTGTCTGGTCCCTGTTATCCTACACTATATCCATGTGTAGCACCACTGTCTGGTCCCCTGTTATCCCACACTATATCCATGTGTAGCACCACTGTCTGGTCCCCTGTTATCCCACACTATATCCATGTGTAGCACCACTGTCTGGTCCCTGTTATCCTACACTATATCCATGTGTAGCACCACTGTCTGGTCCCTGTTATCCTACACTATATCCATGTGTTAACCCACTGTCTGGTCCCTGTTATCCTACACTATATCCATGTGTAGCACCACTGTCTGGTCCCTGTTATCCTACTATATCCCCACACTATATCCATGTGTAGCACCACTGTCTGGTCCCTGTTATCCTACACTATATCCATGTGTAGCACCACTGTCTGGTCCCTGTTATCCTACACTACATCCATGTGTAGTCCCTGTTATCCCACTGTAACCCACTGTCTGGTCCCTGTTATTCCACACACTATATCCATGTGTAGCACCACTGTCTGGTCCCTGTTATCCCACACTATATCCATGTGTAGCACCACTGTCTGGTCCCTGTTATCCTACACTATATCCATGTGTAGCACCACTGTCTGGTCCCTGTTATCCTACACTATATCCATGTGTAGCACCACTGTCTGGTCCCTGTTATCCTACACTATATCCATGTGTAGCACCACTGTCTGGTCCCTGTTATCCTACACTATATCCATGTGTAGCACCTCTGTCTGGTCCCTGTTATCCTACACTATATCCATGTGTAGCACCACTGTCTGGTCCCTGTTATCCTACACTATATCCATGTGTAGCACCACTGTCTGGTCCCTGTTATCCTACACTATATCCATGTGTAGCACCACTGTCTGGTCCCTGTTATCCTACACTATATCCTGTAGCACCACTGTCTGGTCCCTGTTATCCTACACTCTACACTACCATCCATGTGTAGCACCACTATCTGTGTCCCCTGTTATCCTATCCTACACTATATCCATGTGTTAGCACCACTGTCTGGTCCCTGTTATCCTACACTATATCCATGTGTAGCACCACTGTCTGGTCCCTGTTATTCTACACTATATCCATGTGTAGCACCACTGTCTGGTCCCTGTTATCCTACACTATATCCATGTGTATGTGTAGCACCACTGTCTGGTCCCTGTTATCCTACACTATATCCATGTGTAGCACCACTGTCTGGTCCCTGTTATCCTACACTATATCCATGTGTAGTAACCACTGTCTGGTCCCTGTTATCCTACACTATATCCATGTGTAGCACCACTGTCTGGTCCCTGTTATCCTACACTATATCCATGTGTAGCACCACTGTCTGGTCCCTGTTATTCTACACTATATCCATGTGTAGCACCACTGTCTGGTCCCCTGTTATCCCACACTATATCCATGTGTAGCACCACTGTCTGGTCCCTGTTATCCTACACTATATCCATGTGTAGCACCACTGTCTGGTCCCTGTTATCCTACACTATATCCATGTGTTAACCCACTGTCTGGTCCCTGTTATTCCTACACTATATCCATGTGTAGCACCACTGTCTGGTCCCTGCTATATCTCACACACTATATCCATGTGTAGCCCATCCCATCCATGTGTAGCACCCACTGTCTGGTCCCTGTTATCCTACACTATATCCATGTGTAGCACCACTGTCTGGTCCCTGTTATCCCTACACTATATCCATGTGTAGCACCCACTGTCTGGTCCCTGTTATCCTACACTATATCCATGTGTAGCACACCACTGTCTGGTCCCTGTTATCCTACACTATATGTATGTAGCATCCCACAGTGTCTGGTCCCTGTTATCCCACATTTGTCCTATCCTACATGTGTAGCACCCTTGTCTGGTTCCTGTTATGTTATCCTACATGTGTAACACCAGTGTCTGGTACCTGTTATCTTACACCTAAGTTTTCTTCAATAACTCCAGTCCCTACATTCCTGTAGCTGCCAACCCATAAAACACTTCTACCGAGTGGAACATTTATCTTCCTCTCGACGTCTCCAAAGAAGCACACCCAAAACTGGTATAGTTCTACACCCACGCAAAGCTACAACGCATCCTTTTTAGAACCAAGGAAACTGAAAAGTATTCCCATAACACACAAAACACATCACCACAACAACCATAACCAAACTCCACACACCCATGCTGGCAGCCAACAAAACACACCACACCATAACAACCATAACCAAACTCCACACCCATGCTGGCAGCCACCAACAAACACCACACCACAACAACCATACCCAAACTCCACACCCATGCTGGCAGCCGCCAACAAACACACATCAGCCCATCAACTATAACCAAACCACACCTAATGCAGGCAGCCAGCCAACAAAACACATCACCACAAACAAACTATAACTAAACCTCCACACCCATGCAGGCAGCCGCCAACAAAACACCACACCTATAACAACCATAACCAAACTCCACACCCATGCAGGTGCATCCGCCAACCAAACACCATCACCATAACAACCATAACTAAACATCCACACCTATGTGAAGGCATCCACCAACAAACAACACATCACCACAACAACTATAACTAAACTCCCACACCCATGCAAGCAGCCGCCAACAAAAAACACCACACCACAACAACTATAACTATGCAGGTAGCCTCCACACCCATGCAGGTAGCTGGCCAACAAAACACACCCACACCACAACAAAAACCATATAACAAACTATAACTAAACACACTCCATGCAGGCAGCCGCCAACAAACACATCACCACAACAACCAACCAAATCCACACCATCCTGGCAGCCTGGCAAAAACACCACACCACAACAACCATAACCAAACTCCACACCATGCACTGGCAGCCGCCAACAAAAAACATCACCACAACAACCATAACCAAACTCCACACCTAGTAGGCAGCCGCCAATAAAACACACATCACCATAACAACTATAACTAAACTCCACACCCATGCTGGCAGCCGCCAACAAACACCATCACCACAACAACCATAACCCAAACTCCACACCCATGGTAGGCAGCTGCCAACAAAACACAATACACCACAACAACAACCATAACTAAACTCCACACCCATGCAGGCAGCCGCCAACAAAACACATCACTACAACAACCATAACTAAACTCCACACCCATGCTGGCAGCCGCCAACAAAACACATCACCACAACAACTATAACCAAACTCCACACTCCATGCAGGCAGCCGCCAACAAACACATCACCACAACAACCATAACTAAACTCCCACACTCCATGCAGGCAGCCGCCAACAAAACCACATCACCACAACAACTATAACTAAATCCCCACACCCATGCTGGCAGCCGCCAACAAATCACATCACACCACCACAACACCTGGCATAACCAAACCCAACTACTATACCTATGCTCACACCCTGGCAGCCGCCAAGAAAACACATCACCACAACAACTATAATCCAAACTCCTTACACTCCATGCAGGCAGCCGCCAACAAACCACATCACTACAACAACCA